AGCCTGTGTGCCGGCAGAGTAGAATACATTTGTCACCAACCCCTACTCTTCCCACGGGTGTCGTAAGAGGCGACTTAGGACTACACATCAAACAGAGAACGGGCAGCAGCGCTCTCTGACAAACATCAATCTTTTAAACTGCGATCTCCAACCCGCCTGCCAAGCGTGGGGATTATGGCAAAACCCTCCGCTATAGTGGAGGAGGCTCATAGTCCAGCAGTGGACTGTAAAGGGCTGTTGATCAGCATTAGGTTCCTGGGTACTTCTTGCACACAAATCCCCTTTTTTAGTGCCTTTTACCTATGATGCTGATTTCGGCACGCGTGCGGATCTAGTCTGCATTCCCAGGTCTACTGGGTCCCACCAAATTTCTTCCAGGTCTTGTCAGTGTCAAACCCTGTATCCCCTTTTTAACAGGTTAATTTCATTCTCCCTGAATCCCGCAGGGCTTCCTCTTTTCCCAGGTGGAGGTCGCGCGCTTTTGCCCCTTTAAGAAGCTCACTGAATGTCCCCTCGGTTTCCCGAACGCGTTTGGGGTTTCCTCTTACCTTCAAAAGTCTCCCTTTCCTGGTTTGCCTGAACCTCGTAGTAGTCCTACTCCTCTGAGGCGTAAGGATCGGCACACGCTCGGCTCGTGGCAGCAGGATGAGACGCCGCGCGCTCCGCCCGCCCAATCCTGCCATGGCGGCCCGGGTGGCCCAGGCGCAGTGAGTAAATAATACGTAGCCTGGAAGTGCCCACTGGTATTACCCTCTTTCCAGGTCTAACTGGACCGAATGAGGTGATTCTTCGGCGCAAAAATCTCTTTTTCTGAGGTCTACTGGGCCCCACAAAATTTCTACTTCTCCCAGGTTTTCTCAGTGCCAAGATCCACTGTACCCCCCATGTCTCAAATTTCCTAGTCTAACTGCATTCGATACAGGTAAACATTCGTTCCATATGGATTGCTCTTATCTCAGATGCAGGTCGCACAGGCATCACTATTGCCCCTCCCGAGAGGCTCACTGGAATGTAGCTCTAAATACTCTTTCCGGATCTAACTGGACCGTATGAGGACTCTTCGACACAGAAATCTTTAATCCCAGGTCTAACTGGATCTACAGTTTCTCCTTCTCCCAAGCGATGTATGTTGAGCAAGCATAGTGAAGAGTACCCATCATTCTTGCACCTCTGAGACGCTCACTGAAAGAGTCCTCGCGGTTCGGCACACGCTCGGCTCGTGGCAGCAGGACGAGACGCCGCTGGCGCCGAGACGACGCGCGCTCCGCCCGCCCAATCCTGCCATGGCGGCCCGGGTGGCCCAGGCGCAGTGAGTACACTAGCTCTAAGACGTTCATTGGAACTCCCTTCGTCCCAAGTTTCACAAAAATCACAGGTTTATTCAGTCTGACCCATAGGCCTACTGGAATTACGCTCTTTCTAGGTCTAACTGGACCCGACTGGGAATCATTCTTCGCCACAGAAATCCCCCTTATCCCAGGTGTAATAGGTCCCAAAAAATATCTACTTCAAGGTCTTTTTATTGCAGTCTGGTATTCGCCTCGTCCTAAGTTTCCTGCCGGACCCGTTGATATACCCCTTTCTCGCAGAAATCCCCTTTTTAACAGGTTTATTTCTCCCTCTTTTGAGTTCCATAAGGATTCCTCTTTTCCAAGACGCAAGTCGCACAGGCACAGTACACATCACTCCTGTTCCCCTGGAAGGCTCACTGAAAGTTCTCTCGATTTTCTGGACGCGTTTGAGGATCTCTCTTTCTCTTAAAGATCTTTTCCTGGTTCCTTTTCCCAGATCTAACTGGGTCCCACCCAGTGTCTCCTTCTCCCGTATACTAGGTCTCAAAGAATCCCCCCTCTCCCAAGCGATGTATGTTGAGCAAGCATAGTGAAGAGTACCCATCACTCTTGCACTTCTGAGAGGCTCACTGAGTGTCCTCGGCGCCTAGCGGCGTGTGGCGCGGCGAAGGAGTTCTTCAATCCTTCAATCCTGCCATGGCGGCCCGGGTGGCCCAGGCGCAGTGAGTATACTAGCTCTAAGACGTTCATTGGAACTCCCTTCGTCCCAAGTTTCACAAAAATCACAGGTTTATTCAGTCTGATCCATAGGCCTACTGGAATTACGCTCTTTCTAGGTCTAACTGGACCCGACTGGGAATCATTCTTCGCCACAGAAATCCCCTTTATCCCAGGTCTAATTGGTCCCACAAAATACCTACTTCCAGGTCTTTTCATTGCAGTCTGGTATTCGCTTCGTCCTCAGTTTCCTGCTGGACCCGTTGATATACCCCTTTCTGACCCTTTCTGACCGAATGAGGATGATTCTTCGTCGCAAAAATCTCTTTTTCCCAGGTCTATTGAGTCCCACAAAATTTCTACTTCTCCCAGGTTTTTTCAGTGCCAAGATCTACTGTACCCCCCATGTCTCAAACCTGGTCGAACTGCATTTGATACAGGTCAATATTCGTTCCATAGGGATTGCTCTTATCTCAGATGCAAGTCGCACAGGAATCACTATTGCCCCTCCCGAGAGGCTCACTGGAATGTAGCTCTAAAGACTCTTTCCGGATCTAACTGGACCGTATGAGGACTCTTCGACACAGAAATCTTTAATCCTAGGTCTAACTGGATCTACAGTTTCTCCTTCTCCCGTATACTAGCTCCTTCTCCCAAGCGATGTATGTTAAGCAAGCATAGTGAAGAGTGCACATCATTCTTACACTTAATTCTGAGAGGCTCACTGAGTGTCCTCGCGCCGAACGGCGTGTGGCGCGGCGAAGGAGTTCGGCACACGCTCGGCTCGTGGCAGCAAGATGAGACGCCGCTGGCGCCGAGACGACGCGCGCTCCGCCCGCCCAATCCTGCCATGGCGGCCCGGGTGGCCCAGGCGCAGTGAGTAAATAATACATAGCCTGAAAGGGCCCACTGGAATTACCCTCTTTCCAGGTCTAACTGGTAGATATCTTTTTTCTCAGGTCTACTAGGTCCCCTCTCTAATTCTTCCAGATTTTCTCAGTGCCATGACCACCTGTATTCCCCTCAATCTAGGTTTTCTGAACCCTTTCCACACAGTAACCCCCTTTTTAACAGGTTTATTTCTTCCTTCTTTGAGTTCCATAAGGATTCCTCTTTTCCAAGACGCAAGTCGCACAGGCACAGTACACATCACTCCTGTTCCTCTGGAAGGCTCACTGAAAGTTCTCTCGATTTTCTGGACGCGTTTGAGGATCTCTCTTTCCCTTAAAGATCTTTCTCTGATCTTTTTTCCCAGGTCTAACTGGGTCCCTTAGTTTCTCCTCCCGTGTACTAGGTCTCAAAGGATTCCCCCTTTCCCAAGCGATATATGTTGGGTAAGCATAATGAAGAGTACCCATCACTCTTGCACTTCTGAGAGGCTCACTGAGTGTCCTCGGCGCCGAGCGGCGTGTGGCGCGGCGAAGGAGTTCGGCACACGCTCGGCTCGTGGCAGCAGGACGAGACGCCGCTGGCGCCGAGACGACGCGCGCTCCGCCCGCCCAATCCTGCCATGGCGGCCCGGGTGGCCCAGGCGCAGTGAGTACAGAAAACCCAGTGGAATTCCCTTTCTTCTAGGTTCATGGACAGCCTGTGTGCCGGCAGAGTAGAATACATTTGTCACCAACCCCTACTCTTCCCACGGGTGTCGCAAGAGGCGACTTAGGGACTACACATCAAACAGAGAACGGGCAGCTGCACTCTCTGANCTCCGACTCGCACGGGCCGGCTCAGACTCGCACGGCCCGCTCGGTGAGACGCGAGGCTCGCTCGGGCCGGCTCCGACTCGCACGGGCCGGCTCAGACTCGCACGGCCCGCTCGGTGAGACGCGAGGCTCGCTCGGGCCGGCTCCGACTCGCACGGCCCGCTCGGAAAGACGTGAGGCTCGCACGGGCCGGCTCAGACTCGCACGGCCCGCTCGGTGAGACGCGAGGCTCGCACGGGCCGGCTCAGACTCGCACGGCTCGCTCGGTGAGACGCGAGGCTCGCACGGGCCGGCCCGACTCGCACGGCCCGCTCGGAAAGACGCGAGGCTCGCACGGGCCGGCTCAGGCTCGCACGGCTCGCTCGGTGAGACGCGACGCTCGCTCGGGCCGCCTCCGACTCGCACGGCACGCTCGGTGAGACGCGAGGCTCGCACGGGCCGGCTCAGACTCGCACGGCTCGCTCGGTGAGACGCGACGCTCGCTCGGGCCGCCTCCGACTCGCACGGCCCGCTCGGTGAGACGCGAGGCTCGCACGGGCACCTGCTGCTGAGGCTAAAGATCACGGGCCGGAATACGTAGCGTGGGCAGGTATCCCTCTAGGTGGACCGACGATCTGGTGAAGGTTGCGGGAAGAACCTGGATGCGGGCAGCGGAGGACCGGACGTTTTGTAAATTCTTGGGAAAAGCCTTTGACCTGCATTAAACGTCATTTGGCTGAAACGAACGTAATTGAAATTGTTCTTCAAAAAGAACGTTATACTATATGACGTACACCAGTTGGCGCCTTTAACAGTAAAATCATGTCACTCGATTTATGACTGAACATCGTTCCAGCTGATAAACGCTTATGTAAAAGTTTCGTTCACCAGTTGGCGCCAATGGTAAATAATTTCATCAGAGGCGCCAACTGGCTCTTGTCAATACCGTAACTGTTTATTGCAGTGGCATCAGTCGCCGCCATTGATTAGGCCTCGTCAGCGGCGCCAACTCGCTCTTGCTAATACCGTAACTGTTTATTGTATCGTAAGACCTGTTTCAGGCGTCAACTAGTTCTTGCCAGTACTGTAAAGCCCAGAACAGATGGTGAAACGCAACTGCAACGAAACTGCAACTGCTAGTTACTTTTGAGTTGCATTTAAGTTTCTGCCATAGCGTCCGTTGATAGACCCCACATGATGCGACCAGTTTGAAACTTTCAGTTTCATAAGAATCATCAGAAAGTTGCAGTTGCGTTTCACCGTCTGTTCTGGGCTCGTCTAACTGACCCTACTGTTAAAGGCGCCAACTGGCGACCAGCAACAAATGTAACAGCTCCCACCGCTGTCCGCAGCCCGCGACGCGCTGGGCGGCGCGCTGGACGAGCAGACGCAGACGCCGCCGCACCTCATGCCGCCGCCCTTCCTCGTGGACGTGGAGGGGGCGCCGCACGCGCCGCGCCACCAGCGCCTCGTGCCCGGCCGCGAGCTGCTGCCCGCCAGCCAGCTGGTGCCCGCCGCGCCCGCGCACCGCGCGCTCGACCGCATGATACAGGTGCGTGCGCCGGACACAGCACGGTGTGTAGCAGTGTGTTAATATTGTGATAGTGCTTGTTCACGTAGGTACGCGCGGGCGCGGGAAACGTTGCGAGCTCGTGTTCACATTAACCACCAGGCGTTCGCGCGAGTGTGACGTACTATCGTTTCTAGCGACAAGTTCGAACTGGTTGAACTCACCTGACGTCGCGAGTGAAACGCGCACGCCGCCGCTAGTTTGACATGAACACACACAAACATCTTCACGCGTTGAAATTACCGCGAGCGCTCCGCGCGCACCAGTCGCTAGCTTGCCCGCTAGTTAGACCGCACGTGCGTTTCGTACGTGAACACTTGGAATCACTACATATGTTTGATATTTCGTCACCGCGCCCGCGAGTCAATGTGAACAAGCACATACAGGTGCGAAGTGTGTTGCGGACGTGATACAAATACATCGCCAGTTGACGCCACTGATAAGAAATATCTGACAAAGGCGCCAACTCATGAATGCCAATAAGGATCATCGTCAAATATGAAATCAATACGTGGAGGGATTTTTTCTCTGAAGGTTCACGAGTTGGCGCCACTGATGAGTTAGGTTTTGTCACTTGACAAAGGCGCCAACTGATAAAACAATACTGGCTGTCATTTGAAATGTAAACATTTCAATTGGTAACTGATTGAAAACTAGTTTGTAAAGGTGAAAAATATGTGTCGAGTGTTTTTTGATAAGTTATTATTAGTAATTCAAACTTGCTTTTTTATCCAGAAACCATCTCTAGCTTCCGTTTCCACCAGAGATGTGCGAGGATGCGTAGCGAGGGATGTGTTTGCAAAGAACCAATAGAATCGCTTCATTTACTTCGCCTCGGTACATAAAGCGATTCTATTGGTTCTTATTGTCGTCTGATTGCAGGCGTTGTTGGTGTCTTCTCTGTTTGTGCGTGTATGAGGGTCCATAAACGAAACGTACACTACACTTTAGATGATGATTTATTAGACACTGACTTGTCACATAAGATTTCAAACAGTTTTGTATAACGCTTTACGTATTAGGAATACGTATGAGTAATCTCGCTAATGCCCGCTACACAGGCGTTGGCGGCGGAACAAGACGGCGAGGAGGCGGCGGCGGCGCCGAGCGGCGTGTGGCGCGGCGAAGGAGTTCGGCACACGCTCGGCTCGTGGCAGCAGGACGAGACGCCGCTGGCGCCGAGACGACGCGCGCTCCGCCCGCCCAATCCTGCCATGGCGGCCCGGGTGGCCCAGGCGCAGTGAGTAAAGAGCACTCTGGTCCACAGGGCCCACTGGCATTACAGAATACTCATTGGAGTTCTTTTTTAGATTCCTGGATATACCTCACAGAAATCCTCTTTTTTAGTGTCTTTTTCCTGTGATGCGGATTTCGGCACGCGTGTGGATCTGGTCCGCATTCCCAGGTCTACTGGATCCCACCAGTGTCAAGCCCCGTATCCCATTTTAACAGGTTAATTTCTTCCTCCCTGAATCCTACATCCTACAGGGATTCCTTTTTTCCCAGCTGTAGGTCGCGCGCGCGGTCTTGCCCCTTCCAAAATGCTCACTGAAAGGCCAATGGAACTTCCTTCGTTCTAGATTTCATGAAAATTACAGGTTCATTTCTTCTCGAGTCTATAGCAGGTTGCACATGCATGGTACATATCACTTGCCCCACCAAAAGGCTCATTGAAATGTAGCTCTAAAAAATGTTTTCCGGGTCTAACTGGACTCGATGAGGATGATTCGCCACAGAAATCAAATTTTCTTAGGTCTACTGGTTCCCATCAAACTTCCAGGTCTTCTCAGTGAAAAGACCAACTGTATTCCCCTCATTCTAGGTTTCCTGAACCCGTTTAAATACCCCTTCCACACAGAAATCCCTTTTTAACAGATTTATTCCTCCTTCTTTGAGTTCCAAATGGATTACTCTTTTCCCAGACGCAAGTTGCACAGTACACATCACTCTTGGTCCTCTGAAAGGCTCGGGCCGATTTAGTCGCATCAGCGCTATAAGTCGTGCAGTCACAGAACTCATGACTCTTACCTTTCTGAAAGACCCAGCGGAATACCTCCCTTCCCAAGTCTCCTAGACTCGAAGGGGATCAACCTTTTCCTGCAGACATCTCCATTTCACCATGTTAACTGTACCAAACAGAAATGCCCAGGCGCAGTGAGTACAAAAGACCCATTACAGTTCCTTTTCTTCTAGGTTCATAAATACTCACAGAAATCCCCTTTTTAAGTGCCTTTTACCTATGATGCTGATTTCGACATGCGTGTGGATCTGGTCCGCATTCCCAGGTCTACTGGGTCCCACCAAATTTCTTCCAGGTCTTGTTAGTGTCAAATCCGGTATACCCTTTTTAACAGGTTAATTTCTTCCTCCCTGAGTCCCACAGCGGTTATTCTTTTCCCAGCTGTAGGTCGCGCGGTCTTGCCTCTTCTAAGAAGCGCACTGAAAGTTTTCTAGATTTCCTGGCCGCGTTTGAGGATCTCCCTTTCCCTTAAAAATATTTTCCAGGTCTTTTTTCCTCAAATCTAACTGGGTTCCATAGTTTCTCCTCCCGTGCTCTAAGAATCACCTCTCTCCCTAGCGATGTATGTTTATTTATTTATTTATTTACATACACACACATACATGCATGTTGAACAAGCATAGTGAAGAGTACCCATCACTCTTGCACTTCTGAGAGGCTCACTGGAATTCCCCTCGATTTCCTGGACGACTCTTTCTTTTCTATGGCCCAGCCAATTTAGCAGTTAATTTAGGACTTTAAAGATTGTGATTTTGTGTTTAGACCAGTCTTTCCCAAAGTGGGCGATAACGCCCCCTTGTGGGCGCTGCAGGCTTAAAGGGGGGCGGTAAGAGACCCAGAAAAAAAAATCGGGACGTTGTGTAGAGGCTTGGGAGGCGTCATTTACTAGGAGGACTCTTAGACACCGACTGAGCACTCGACTCTCGACTACAAATGGGGGCGCTACAAAGAATTTATTCTCAAAGTGGGCAGTAGACAAAATAAGTTTGGGAACCGCTGGTTTAGACTATAGTTTTCAAGATTTTTAAGACAATAACATATCAGCCTCTGACGGATCCCTGTCGCCACAGCGCAGAATTGTACGAGCTGGAGCAGGCGTGGTTCCGGCGCGAGATGCGGCGCCGTCCGCTCATGATCAGCACCGCGCCGCACGCCCCGCGCCGCCGCGCCGGCCGGCCCCACGCGCGCCCCACGCCCCGCCCGACGCCCCGCCCACGCCCCGCCCCGCCGCTGGTAAGCCCCGCTCATGATCAGCACCGCGCCGCACGCCCCGCGCCGCCGCACCGGCCGGCCCCACACGCGCCCCACGCCCCGCCCTATGCCCCGCCCACGCCCCGCCCTACGTCCCGCCCTCGCTCCGCACCATTGGTAAGCCAACGCCGCGCCGCTAACGACCCACTTACATTACTATGCAGTGGCACTCGCTACAACACCGCTCTGATACGATATGGAAAGATTTTTGACACTTAGTGGGACGCGTAGCACAGTGTCGCGAAAGTCCTGATAAGTGTTTAGCGTGAATGTCGTCTAAAATCATCGATAAGTTTTTATCACGGCGCGCAATCTAGCCCGCTGACCTTTAAATTATGGATTATTTTTACATAGCAAATCTTCGATACAAACAGAATGTCCTCTACAGATCGACGATCCAATTTGGAAAGTTTAAAGAACTGTTACGGAGTTGCAATAAAAAGTTATTTAAAAAAATGTGCCCTAAATATTATCTAGCTCGCTAACAACTTAAACCACTATGCAGGAGGAGCCACCAGAGCCACCAAGCGCTTCCAGCGACACTTCAGACGAGTCAGTGCGCCTGTCTGGCTCGGGCCGCGACTCGCGCTCCAGCCGCTCGAGCCACTCCAGCGGCAGCGCCTCTGATTCTAGCAGGTAGCGACTGTGGGCCCTGCTGCCATTGTAACACGGGCTATATTACTTCAGACGAGTCGGTGCGCCTGTCTGGCTCGGGCCGCGACTCGCGCTCCAGCCGCTCGAGCCACTCCAGCGGCAGCGCCTCTGATTCTAGCAGGTAGCGACTGTGGGCCCTGCTGCCATTGTAACACGGGCTATATTACTTCAGACGCAAGCATTTTATAAACACGGTTTATTTCAAATTTCACTCAATTTGAACCAGAATTATAACTGGTTAAGTATCATCCTAGACAGCATCTCATTTAATATCAGGTGTGATTGCGGTCAAAAACCTGTCTTGTTCTGCATTTTAATATTGTCACTCACTCACTGACTGATCATCAAATCTGTAAGGCACTTCTAGCAGACATAGACGCTTTAAAAATTTAAAATTGACCTTAAAAAACAACTCATTTGAGTTTAATTTCCAGCAGTTCCTCATCTTCGCAATATTCCGACTGGGAGGCGGGCGCAGCGCTCGCACCGCCCGCGCGTGCCCGTCGCCGTCCGCTGCCTGCCAAAAGGTACGTTCTACTACTAGGTGGAGCTACTATACAACGTGCTCTTTTTGATTTCCTGGAACTCTAGAGTATTAATAAGACCACTTCAAAGAATGGAATGGCATTACATTTTTTGTTAAATTCAACAATTTTTTTCGACTTATTTTTTTCATACGAAATTATTTAAAATTTAATTTTCACTGAAATAATTCATAATTTACATACACTTATCAATAAAAAGTCTGCACAAAAAGACTAGGTGACAATTTTGAAAAAAAAAATTGATTGGTGATATGATGATACTATAATCTAAATCAACTAGGTATCTTCTAAATCTAGAATCCACAATATCTTCAAAAATATGCTTTTAGAAACACATATTCTTAGGAGACTATTTAACTAGTTTTTATTTATTTATACAATAAACCCCTAAAATTTCCGGAAAACAAAAGAAGCACGTTGTATTTAGTAGGTAGGTAGTAGTATTTAACTGGGTCCACATTGTATAACTGCCAAAATTGTAAGACCTAAAATGTGAATGCTAATGTGGTTATGCAAAATAAACTATTGAGTATTGAGTAATTTTGACTACGGCTCACTAGGTGGCGTCACTTTAGTAATTTTGATTGCGGTTCACTAGGTGGTGCCATTTTATTTAATCATTTTGACTCTACGGCTGATTGGTTGGCATCATTTTCTATAGTTACCTCGCAGACTATAGATTTTAAGTCGGTCGATAGTTGGCTCGAATTCCAATTTTTATGACAAATCGGCCGATAAAAATTCTTCGGAGTGTTATAGTGATTCTGACAATAGCGCCAACTCACGAGTGATCATACATGACTGACAGTGGCGCCAACTGGTGATTTCTGAATCATATTTCTACTGACACTCTGAGACGACAACTAGTGTGTGCAAACTTGTCATTAAAGCCCGGTCGGTCGCCGAGCACGTAGAATTTGTCCAATGACCCCAAGCTACCCATCCTTATCGCTCGCGCGTAATTGTATTGCTGTCGCGACTGTGCGACGCGCGCCCGCAGTGAGTGTGCGAGCGCGACAGCAACATAATTACGCGCGAGCGATAAGGTGCTCGGCGACCGGACTATAACATCAACTTAATTTACTTCAGATACAGTCCCAGCGCAGTGGCCGCAAAACGAGCCGAGCGAACCGAGGACCTTCCTACCACCTCCGCTGCGTCCCCCACCACCCCCGCCGAAGACACGGCGCCCCCTCCCGACGAGCTGGGCGACGCCTACCGCGTGGGCGACTGGCTGACGGCCGTGTCGCCGCGCAAGGCGCCCTACCATCCGCAGATGGGCGACGAGTGCTTGTACTTCAGGCTGGTGAGTCACCGGGCCCGCGCCCATAGAGTTGGGCGACGCCTACCGCGTGGGCGACTGGCTGACGGCCGTGTCGCCGCGCAAGGCGCCCTACCATCCGCAGATGGGCGACGAGTGCTTGTACTTCAGGCTGGTGAGTCACCGGGCCCGCGCCCATAGAGTTGGGCGACGCCTACCGCGTGGGCGACTGGCTGACGGCCGTGTCGCCGCGCAAGGCGCCCTACCATCCGCAGATGGGCGACGAGTGCTTGTACTTCAGGCTGGTGAGTCACCGGGCCCGCGCCCATAGAGTTGGGCGACGCCTACCGCGTGGGCGACTGGCTGACGGCCGTGTCGCCGCGCAAGGCGCCCTACCATCCGCAGATGGGCGACGAGTGCTTGTACTTCAGGCTGGTGAGTCACCGGGCCCGCGCCCATAGAGTTGGGCGACGCCTACCGCGTGGGCGACTGGCTGACGGCCGTGTCGCCGCGCAAGGCGCCCTACCATCCGCAGATGGGCGACGAGTGCTTGTACTTCAAGCTGGTGAGTCACCCCCGACCCCCCCCCGCGCCCAGGAGGGCGACTTGACTTACTTGACTTATGGTCCTATGTCCCCTAGATGGGGCAGAGGGCGTCCACAACAGTCCTCCATCTCGTTCGGTCTTGAGCTTCTCGCTTGATCTCGCTCCAGGTCTTGCCGATCTTCTTCGCCTCGTCCGCTACAGTGCGCCGCCAAGTTTGCCTGGGTCGACCACGTTTGCGTTTTCCTTGGGGATTCCAATCCAGAGCCTGCTTAGGGATGTGATCGGGGTCCCTTCGGAGAGTGTGGCCGATCCAGTTCCACTTGCGGCGCTTGATCTGCTGGTCGATCGGAATTTCGTGGCAGCGTTCCAATAGCTCGACGTTGGAGATTTTCTCGGGCCAGTATATGCCGAGAATTCGGCGAAGGCAGCGGTTGATGAAGACCTGCAGCTGGTGCGAGATAACCTTGGTGACCTTCCACGTTTCACACCCATAGAGCAGAACGGATTTAACGTTGGACCCGAATATTTTGATCTTGACCCTTCGGGTCAATTTCCGTGACTGCCATATGGGGCGAAGTTGGAGGGCGAACGATTGTGAAAAATATTCGCCATGGACAGAAGAAAATACGCGTGTGGTTCTCTAGATGGCGACACAGTAGCTTCTTGTAATCAACGCTATCGCATCGGCACAATACCGAAGGCCTAGTGCGAGTTTACATCAAAGTTAAACATCAGTGATCAAACACTAGTGAGCGCGTCAAAAAATGACATGAAATGTATGACGGATTGTACAGCGCCCCTAACGGAAACGTTCAAGAACTAAAATTTCCATACATTTTTTTACGCGCTCACTAGTGAGGACTTTTGATGTCACCAATCACTGACGTAGGTAAACGAAACTCTGCTCAACTCTGAAACATGCTAAAGTCCGGTCTGCAAGCACGTAGAATTTTGTCCAATGACCTCAACCAACCCATATCCTTATCGCTCACTGCGGCTGCCCGTCGCACAGTCGCGACAGCAAATAATTATGCGCGAGCGATAAGGATAGGTAGCTTGGGGTCATTCATTGGACAAAATTCTACGTGCTCACAGACCAGACTATAGACGAGTAAGATGTCGTCTAGTTAGATGATAAGGTAGTATTGTTTCCCAACGATTACTAAACTGGTCGCCCCTATTTCACCCCTACAAGTAATACCTTGTAACTTGTGATTGTGACTAAATAGTGTGGTGTTGCAGGGCCACCAGCGCTACTTTGAGGCGGTGGCGGAGAAAGACCTGTACAAGGTGAACCCGCGCGACAAGCCATGGGAGCGCACGCACGTCAACGTAAGCACATTTCAAACTTGATAATCTTTTAATTAAAGTGTATTTGAAGAGGAAGATAAAAAAGTGACAGTCGTAAAAAACTAAAAAGTAAATGTCTCGCCGGCTAGGCGAGCGGCCAAGGAGTTTGGTCGTACCTTTGCGACCCTTTGCAATTTTCCCTAGGACGTCATTAAAACAGACTTGAGGGCTGAGTGTGAGTTAAAAAAATGACATTAAATGTATGATGGATTGTACAGCGCCCCTAGCGGAAACTTACAAGAACTACATATATTTTTAAGCGCTTACTTTAGCGCTCACCAGTAAGCGAGTTTGATGGAAACTCACACTTAGCCCTCTGTACACCCACCATATTTTGAACTTTATTCCCCTGTCTTAAACTCCAAAAACATTTTTTTTACTTGTTATGCCCTTTAAAGGCTTCATAGCCATTATAGCTCACCTATCTACAGGGTGTAATTTTGTAATGCCACCTGGAGGGAAAGTACTCGTAATACTGTAGATAGAAAATTTTACTGATAGAAAACATTCCTTTATTTTTGAAAAGAAAGAGAACTGCATTCAAAGATTACACCCGGGAATCGAACCAACTAAATTAAGTTAAAAATTACATCCTGTATTTTTATTGCATCGTTCGTTAGGGTTAAGTATAAGGATGAAATCTCTTTAACAAACTTGATAAATCAAATGAAAAGAAAACCATGAAATCTTAAATTATTGTAATATTTACAGAAAATTTTATGGTATGGTGGTAAATTTTCGAAAAAATTTCGAAAGTCTTTGAATGCAGTTCTCTTTCTTTTTAAAAATAAAGGAATGTTTTCTTCGAGTAAAATTTTTTATCTACAGTATTAAGGGTACTTTCCCTCCAGGTGGCATTACAAAATTCCACCCTGTATATCGCCTTAGGACTTCAAACTCACCACCACCCATAGTGTTAAGGACAGGATTTAAAAAGAAATTAAATAACAAAAAATAAAGATGAGAGAGACTAGAACAAACGCAATACGGCTTTCATTTTTGCTCTCTTCGTATTATAACAAATTATGTAGAGAATCACATAGCCAGCCTTGCGGTGATAACTGGCCGAATCGAACTGCGTCTGCCGTGGCAGGTTGCACTCAGCCGAGCGCACATCTTGACTCTTTACAAGTTGTTTAATAAAAAACTAAAAACTCATTTATTTTTGCAAATAGGCTTTTAAAAAGCACTTTTACACGACCCAGTATAAACCCTACCACTGCTTCGAGACAATAAATGTGCCAGTGCTGAGAAGAAGCAGTGCAAGAAACTCATGCCCGTTTTCACCATCAATCCCTAATTTTTAAGTGACCCCTATGAGAACAAAATGCCTGTTATGTATTACCATAGGGGTCACTTAAAAATTAGGGATTGATGGTGAAAACGGGCATTAGTCACTATTGTATCACCTCTCATGTAGAATCTCAGTCACTATGATTTGTTGCTTTGTATCGGCTCAGGACTGCGAGGTGGTGAAAGTGATCGGCATCAAGTACGTCATCAAACCTCCTCGAGTGGTGTGCCTGCGGCTGGCCTGCTCGCTGGACGCGGCGCGCGCGCGATCCTTCACCGTGCGCTACCACGACATGCCTGACGTCATCGACTTCCTCGTGCTCCGCCAGCAGTACGAGGCCGCCACGGCGCGCCACTGGGGGCCCGGCGACAGGTGAGAGTCAAATTGGCACTTATTGCGACAGGTGAGCCTTATTGCGCAGGGAGGTATACGGAAAAACTGAAAAAATCGCGTGAAAAACACTAGTGGAGACTCAAAATTGACGCCCGGCGACAGGTAAGAACTATACTGACACTTGTTGCTAGGAAAGTAGGCAGAAAAACGATAAAATCGCGTGCAAAACACTATAAGATACTCAAAATGACGTCACGCTGAAAAATACGCGATAAAAATGCGCGCGGATAGGCAAGAAAAGTTTGACGTGACGTCACGCACCACAATTTCGTAGCAGAGAAAGTTTTTCGTAGCACTCCGCGCGTCTTGTAGTCTGTCCCGTAGCACTAACGGCGACTCATTGACGTCACGCAACAAAGTTTCGTAGCAGAAAATACTTTTTCGTAGCACTCCTCGCGTCTCGTAGTCAGTGTTACGTCATGCGTCGTAGCATATTACTGGTTCGTAGTCCTTCTCGTAGCATTAAATACTACGAATGACGTCACGCAACAAACTTTCGTAGCACTCCGCTCGGGCCGTAGTGTGTGACGTCACGCGTCGCTAGTCGGTAGTGTCCCTTCACCGTGCGCTACCACGACATGCCCGACGTCATCGACTTCCTCGTGCTCCGCCAGCAGTACGAGGCCGCCACGGCGCGCCACTGGGGGCCCGGCGACAGGTGAGCCTTTTGCGCAGGAAGGTAGACGGAAAAACGGAAAAAATCGCACTAGTAGAGACTCCAAATTGATGCTCGAAGACAGGTAAGAACGAAAGTGACACTTATTCTTAGGAAAGTAGACGAAAAAACGGAAATAATCGCGTGAAAAAGCTCCTAGAGACTGAAAATGACGTCACGCTGAAGAATACGCGATAAAAATGCGCGCGGATAGGCGAGAAATGTTTGACTTGACGTCACGCACCACAATTTCGTAGCAGAAAAAGTTTTTCGTAGCACTCCGCGAGTGTCGTAGTCAGTGAACGTCACGCGCGTCGTAGCGTATTGCTAGTTCGTAGTCTTTCCCGTAGCGTTAGAGACTACGAATGACGTCACGCAACAAAGTTTCGTAGCAGAAACCTTCGTAGCACTCCGCTCGGGCCGTAGTGTGTGACGTCACGCGTCGCTAGTTGGTAGTGTCCCTTCACCGTGCGCTACCACGACATGCCCGACGTCATCGACTTCCTCGTGCTCCGCCAGCAGTACGAGGCCGCCACGGCGCGCCACTGGGGGCCCGGCGACAGGTGAGCCTTATTGCTTAAGAGGGTAGACGGAAAAACGGAAAAAATCGCGTGACAAAACAAGAAAACACTCAAAATTGACGCCCGGAGACAGGTGAGAACGAAACTGACACTTATTGCTTAGGAAAGTAGGCAGAAAAACGAAAAAATCGCACGAAAGCAACTAAAAATGACGTCACGCTGAAAAATACGCGATCAAAATGCGCGCGAATAAGTAAGAAAAGATTGGCGTGACGTCACGCACCACAATTTCGTAGCGGAAAAAGTTTTTTCATAGCACTCCGCGTGGGCCGTAGTCAATGAACGTCACGCGCGTCGTAGCTTATTGCTAGTTCGTAGTCTTTTCCGTAGACGAGAAAATTCGCTTAAAATACGCTTCAAAGTCATGAAGCGACTACGAATGACGTCACGCAACAAAGTTTCGTAGCAGATAAATAGTTTTCGTAGCACTCCGCGAGATCACTCCAAGAGACAATAGACAATAGACATAACAAAATATTGTTAACTGTTATGTTTCTACTTATATATTCTTTAATTGTCTGCTCTTGTAATAGCGTATGGTCTATTTGCAACTTGACTTCCATTTGGCCAATTCCTTTTTCCACTTACCCATAAATAGCTAAGCAGATACATAATTTTAGGTTTCATTATTTGTATTTGTATTGCTGTTGGTTTTCCTTATAAAATAAAATGTTTTTGTCGCCAGGTTCCGATGCATGATCGACGACTCGTGGTGGACGGGCGTGGTGCTGGAGCGGTCGGGCGCGGGCCCCGGCGCGGGCCCCGGTGCGGGCCCTGGCGCGGGCCCCGGTGGGGGCGCGGGCCCCGCGGCGGCGTTCTCGGCGACGGCGGCGCCGCACTTCCTGTCGCTGAAGGTGCGCTGGGACAACGGGGAGGTGGAGAGGCTGTCCCCGTGGGACCTGGAGCCTATTGATGTGGAAAGGTCAGTAGATTCCTTTAATTTTATGTACAGGTAGATATAGCGCCTGAGTCCGTGTCTGAGGTATGGAAGCTTCACGGGAGGGGTGACATTGACATATTATAACGTGACAGAGCATACAAATCTGCCCCCCTATAGTCCAGTCAATAAAGCATTATAGATGGAAATCCGTGGAACACAATTTTTGACTTCGGGACTTTATTTAGACTAGCTAGGAGGTGAACATAGCAAAAGTCCCCGCCCTTAGCCCTTGAGCCGGCGGGAAGAGGGGGGTTTAAAGGTACCACTTTTCGGTTTTTCGCTTAATCCTCGGAAACTATGCGCCCTAGTGACATGACTACTATGAACCAAAAAAAGTTTATTCAATTTGCTACAGGTGAGATGGTCAAGTTTTTCTATATCTTGTATAGTTTTCGCGGCATCTGCTCTAGAAGGTCTGTAATATTGGAAATTTTATTTTTGTCTTACATGTTTCCATCAGGAGAAAATCGTCAAAATCAACATTGAGCTAATATTCTAGACATGCGGGAGCATGTTAAGCCTAGTTCCAGGGAGGGGACTGCACCGTGCGTATATTTAGACGAACTAATTGGAGCCACTTTTGACTCCTCATCACTCAAATAGTAATGTGCATTAACACTTCAAATTTGGCTCATGTGTTGAGACTTGCAAGATAATCATCAGCTTCAAATTTCATAAATATACCTCAAATGGTTCTTTAGGTATTGACGTCTAAAAATCTACATGGCTGACCTATAAGACCAAATTCTAACGACTTCCAGGTGACCTTGAAGGTTCAAATTTGGCATCCAGATAGGTAGTTGGGTAAATACAAAGGAACAAATAAAAAACAAATAAATTTTAACATTTCACAGGTGATACATAAATTTTAGTGTCCTAAATGTCGATTTTTGAACGTCAATACCTAAATAACCGTTTAAGGTATATTTATGAAATTTGAAGCTGATGATTATCTTGCAAGTCTCAACACATGAGCCAAATTTGAAGTGTTAATGCACAGTACTTTTTGAGTGATGAGGAGTCAAAAGTAGCTCTAATTGGTTCGTCTAAATATACGCACGATGCAGTCCCCTCCCTGGAACTAGGCTTAACATGCTCCCGCATGTCTATAATGTTTGCTCAATGTTGATTTAGTCGATTTTCTCCTGACGGGAACATGTAAGACAAAATTAAAATTTCCAATATTACAGACCTTCTAGAGGAGATGCCGCGAAAACTATACAAGATATAGAAAAACTTGACTGAAGCTGTGTTGTACCGACCTGAACCCCACGAGTGGCCCCCGCGAGGCGACCGCTCCGCCGCCTGCCGCGCCATCGCGCAACACGTGTCGCAGGTACGCACTCAGACTGCGTCCGAGCCAGGTGGCTCCGTGGCGTGTCCCGCACGAGCCAGAAGCTGTGTTGTACCGACCTGAACCCCACGAGTGGCCCCCGCGAGGCGACCGCTCCGCCGCCTCATTGACGTCTTACTTTTTAAAACTGACAAAACGAGACTCCCATAGATTTTAATGGCAATACTAGCCAATGACGTCACTATTTTGTCAATTCATTTAAACTACTTTTTTCAATGCAACCAAAAATCTTAATTTACAGATTAAGACCAGAATGAAGTGCCTTTTTAGTGTCTTTTGTGAGTGGTGGCAAATATACCCAATTGTTACAATGATATACGACGTGACAGGTTTGTGACATCAGAGATTGTTAGACCGTGTTTATGTGCCACTTGTGGTCTAAATTGAATAAAATATTTTTGATTTTGATTTTCGATTTTATGACCGAAAGCTTTTTGTGTCGGCAGGTGATGTCTCTGTCGGTAGCAGAAGCATTCGTAGCACCAGTGGACCTGCAGCGATACCCGGCCTACGCGCGCGTCGTGCCCTACCCTATTGATCTGGCTACTGTTCGAGCGAGGTTTGATAACCTGGTACGTACTGCGGCCTGATGAGGTCATGTCATTACACTTGTGGTGAACTGCAGTGGACTGTGTTTATGTGTGTTCGAGAGCTTGCCCTTACTATGGCGTAGTAGGTGCTATAGGAATAAAACCACTATTTCACTTGCTGAGAGTTCTTGCGTTTATTTATTCGCTTCCTTTTCTCAGTTCTTGCTTCTTCAGATCACTTGTTGCTTGGAGCACTTGTTCTCTGAACTAAAACTTACAATTGAACTTAAACTTGTCATGTGAAAGCGAGATGACAAATAATGTGAGAAAGAGATGGAATGTTTATCTCTAATCGACTCTAATTGATTATTTTACAACATTTTCTGACCGTTAACGTTGCTAATCAATTCTAATTAATAAATTAGCGTATTTTCTCGGTTGACGTCGCTAACAACGCTGTACTATACATTTTAGCTGGGTCGTCAGAGCACACACACTTCACGCTGCGGCCCAACTTGTGCTGTCAAAACACGCGATACGTTACGGCGCGACTGACGTAATGCTACGTTCTGACTAGAGCCATCAGAGCCCATACATGTCACGCCACAGCATGGCTGAGGTCATCACACTACACACAAGGCTACGGTCCCACTGGTATTGTCAAAGTACACACACATTACGCTATGACTCGACTGAGCACATGAGAGCCATGCTGACCTGATTCATTTACTCACTATTCTTAAGATACAAACTACAATAGCCCCAGACACAGTACATCTGTTTGGATCTGGTGCATTCTGGTTCTTAAGGACCCCCCACAGTAGCGTCTTTCAAGGGTCGTCTTTCCAGCGCCCGTGCAACGTTTTTTTTTGGACTGTTGCGTTTTTTTTTCGGCAGCCGATCAGCATTGACGTCACGGCGATGTTGAGCGAGCACGAAACGACTTTCGAAAGATGCTACTGTGGGAAGGCCTAATCGCCTAAAGTCTGTTCGCCGAGAGTTGATAAAAAAAATTAAATATCAGAGGTTCTAAACTCATTATAAATTGCGGCCCGCTAATTATTTTTGTCGATATAATGAAAAAGTTGGTAGATTATTTGGCCTGGCCTTTTTTTTTTGGCCTGGATTCTCGGCTCGGTTACAATTTAATTTTGGACTACCATTTATAAGAATGTTCTAAAAATACCAATTACCTACCAAATCTACTAAACGATTTCGCACTACTAAACATCGTTCTCTTTGCCTCAAATCTACCAAAAAAGTAGAAATCTACTAAAAGTGGTCACGCTGTGGCCGCCGCCGCCCGCCGGGGCGCTTGACGACAGCTGCGTGGCTCGTACCATGGTACTCAGTGCGCGTTGTGACAAACGACGCCCGCCATACAGAATGCGATAATTAAGCGACAGTCGCTATTGCAAGACATTTCATAATATTTATCAACTCTCGGCGAACAGACTTTACCAATACTTGACACTACATACTGAAAGCGCGTCATCCTTCACAGTTCTACCGTCGCGCGGCGGCCGCTCAGTTCGACGTGCGATACTTGGCCACCAACGCAGAGCGCTTCAACGAGCCGCACTCGCCCATAGTACGCCAGGCGCGTCTGGTCACCGACCTACTGCTGCACATCATCAGGTAGGCATAGGTGTAATCGTTCGTTAGTTTCAGCCAAATGACGTCCAATAAGCTGCTAGACCTTTGTCTAGCAGTAATGGAAATGGGGGGAAGCAAAGGCTTCCCCCCAAGGATTTCCATTACGCATCCAGGTTTTTCCCGCGACCTTCACCAAATCGTCGGTCCACCTAGTTGGAGGTCTGCTCACGCTACGTCTATCGGCCCGTGGTCGCCACTCAAGAACTTTTCTGCCCCAACGGCGATCGTCTACGAGCTATGTGCCCCGCCCACTGCCACTTGATTTTAATGAAAGGTGTAATATTCTGGAGCAATTAAAGACAATGATAGTCAACAACGTATATTTCTGATTGCGCGATAACGCATTACCCTCAACATCTTACAATAATAAAATATACTGAGATACTCGCATACGTTACAAAAGCCAACGAAATAACATATCAACAAGTGCTGAGGAGAAGCGCCGCAACAAATGTCGAGCGCGGTCACTACTATAAGAAAATCGTTAATACATTACCCGACTGATTAGCTAGCTGAAGTGGCAATGGGCTGAAGGGGCAGCAAGGTTCTGGAGTGGAGGTCACCAGAAAGTGCAGCGTAGGAGGTCCACTCACAAGGTGGACCGACGACTGCAACAGGTAGCAGGAAGGCGCTGGATGCAGGTTGCTACCAGTCATTATGGAAAACATTGGGGGAGACATGTTCAGCAGTCCACACAACTTATGACCGCAGCCTATGGAGGAACACTTATGTATATGGTTTGAAATTGAACTATTAAGTGTTGAGCATAAGGTTGAAGACGTTGTCTTGTGGCAGCCACTGGCGCGAGGTTGACATGCTGATTCAATCAACCTGATTTGAACCATAAACGTTTGTTATAAGTTCCCGTTTGGGTTGCAACCACTGGCGCGAGGTGGACATGTTAAGTCAATCTGATTTGAACCTTAAGCCCTAACTATAAGTTCCTGTTTCCATTGCAGCCACTGGCGCGAGGTGGACGTGCTGAGCAAGTACCGCGAGCTGGCGGCCGCCTACCACTCCTCCGACGACGAGCCGCTCGCACACGCCGTCGCCAACAAGGTAACACACACGTCACACCACTGCACACGGTAACACACACGTCACACCACTGCACACAAGTACCGCGAGCTGGCGGCCGCCTACCACTCCTCCGACGACGAGCCGCTCGCACACGCCGTCGCCAACAAGGTAATACTCAATACTCAATAGTTTATTTTGCATAACCACATTAGCATTCACATTTTAGGTCTTACAATATAGGCAGTTATACAATGTGGACCCAGTTAGGGCACAGCAACTAGGAAGGAGACAGAACGACGATCTTAATAGTTTCAAAAGAAATGTACACATTGGGTTTGGTGGAAATGTCATTATTAAACAATTCGGTAATTATAAAATAAAGACGCATAATATCTTCGTTAAAAATGGCTATAACCACACAGAAGACGTATTCATGACTATAGTCCGGTTGCCGAGCACATACAATTTCGTCCAATGACTCCAAGCTACCCATCCTTATCGCTCGCACGTAAAATTATATTGCTGTCGCGACTGTGCGACGTGTGGCTACAGTCAGTGTGCGAGCACAACCAACAACTCACCTTATAACCACACAGAAGATATAAATAAATAAATAAATATATAAATAAATAAATCTTTGGACAATTTCACACAGCGCCAGCTAGCCCCAAAGTAAGCAACTTAATGCTTGTGTTATGGGTGCTAGCTTAACGGATATACTACTTATATACTTTTTTTTTTTTAAATACATAAATATTATACATAGTCACACCCAGACCCGTCACAGAAATTAAAATTCCCGTCACAGAAATTAGATATATTTAGGACTATAGTGTTGTAGAAACAGGCTCCACCCACTCGTGCAATCTCTCAAGGAATTCAATCCAGTCTCTTAAAGTCTACATATTGAAGTCAAGTGCTAGCTGTCATTGCAATGTGCACTATCGCTTATTATAACAGTGTTTAAATGGCAATGCCAGATTTAGTATGGAAGGTGGCGTCTTTTTTTTCGCGCGGCCATCGACCAAACCTTGTTTTTTTATTAAAAATAGTGTAATAAACCAAACTTACTATGACATGTATACCTCTAAACTCAGTCTGAACTGAGTTACGAGCATTAGAAGTTTGATGATTTTCATACTAGATTTGCTTTTTGTGCGCAAGTTTTGTAAGAAATTGCAACAAAATATTGCGCTATTTTTTTATTGCGCTGATTCTGCTCCATATTGATGTCTGGAGCCTTTAATGGATGGTATTGTTTGTTTTCACATACAATGTCACTATTTTGTTTACATACATGTCATAGTAAGTTTGGTTTATTACACTATTTTGTAATCAAAAAACAAAGTTTGGTCGATTGCCGCGCGAAAAAAAAAAGACGCTAATTTCCGGCATTGTCTTTTTAAGGACGATGTCTCAATGCGAAAAATTTTTTTAGACTTCGGAAAGCTTGGAGTCCTTTGACTCGATCGCGACATCCGATAACCATTGGGTGTCTTGCGGAGTTCGCGAGTAGTGTAGTGGAGGCATATTGTTTTAAAATATTATTTTGGTGGTATTTGATTTTTGTTTTTACTAGTGTATAATTATAATTACCCTAACATTGCAAAAAGAAATGCTGTGTATACCTGTAATTGAGGTCATATACGTATCATGTGTTAAACCATGTTAAAATGTATGAACTGTATTATGTATGTGACTTTGTTGGTGTACCTAATAAATAAATAAATAAATTAAACGTCGTGTTGTGTTGTCAGACGGCGCGCACAGCAAGGAGTGGTGCCGGCCGGCGCTCGTGGACGGCTTGGTGCGGCTCAGTACTGCGCTCGCTACTGCGCTCGCCCGACGCCGAGCCCTTCAAGCAGCCCGTCTCGCCCGGGGTGGCGCCCGGTGAGTGACGTCACACAGCACCAGGCGGCGTGCTGCGCTCGCTACTGCNATAGTGGTTTTACATGTCCTTAGAGTCGTGTGTAGAGACTTGTGTAGTAATTTGTCACGTCATATAATGAGATACATAATATTTATCGCGGGAACAGCAAATAATAGATGTTGGTTTATGACTGACGTTCGTTCAGCACTACTATTTATTCATTAACATAAACAGTCAATAATATATCTATTACTGTTGCACAAGACGCTAAGTACCGCTGTTTACCAACTTATCTATGATATTTTAATGTTAACAACTTTTAATGAATGCCGAGTAAAGACTTAAAACGACAGAACATGTTGTTTACTTATTATTTGCAATTTAATAAGCAGTCACCGCCTTTTTCCATTCAGTTTTCTAAAACACTCTAAGAAATAAAATTATATACGTGATCGCGATTAAATGTGGTCAAGGCAACAGGACTAACTAATTTCATTTAGGCTTTTCATTTCAGGAACTACCTACTTATTTGAATTGACTAAGAACCTTCTGTTATTGACTGATCTATGTAATTTTAATGATAGGCAGGAACTACTTACTTGAATTGCACTAGGGGCTTCTGTAGTAGGCTGATCTATGTAATTTTATTATCAACACCTTGCGCTGGAGTAACGGGCTCGGTCGATGACAGCGGCGCGGGCGCACGCCGCAATTTACAGTTTTTGTATGGAGGACTTATGGTGTTACATCACGGATGTTACGCGATGCTTTGAGATTATAAAGTAACTGCGTTTACCCGCAGGGTTATAAAATCAAAGGCTGTCGATAACCGCTAGGGTAAACGAGTTCTTGAACGGATATCAGCTAGGTAGGTAGGTGGAGTAAAGACTTACGAAAAGTTATTGGTAATTTTAAACTTTCGAGTTCCATACCAACAAAAATAGAGACACATAGGCTGCAGCATAGCAGCCGAAATGACAAGCCGTGAGTACATGTAATTCATATAAAAATGTCGCGTTCAAATCAAATCAATTTTTTTATTTGCACAATATGGGTTATACAGTTGTTTAAAGAAGTAGTAAAATATTTCACCATACTGCCTGCCACATTAGGCATGCAAATATATTGGTGAGACCCGTGTTTCTCTATCTTACTGGTCAAAAGCTGGATTCAAGCCGAAGACAGGGTAAAATGGCGAGTAATGAGGGATGAGGCTCATGTTCAGCAGTGGACTGTTATTGGCTGATAATGATAAAATCACAGAGGTAAGCTAGAGAATACACACCTACGTGTATTCTCTAGCTTAATCTCTAGTGCAACAATTTATTAAATTAGGCAAGCTGCTATCGCACTCCCTAAAAATCTACGATTAGGTCTATATTTTTATTTAAAACTAGGGTTACAAAGAATTCTAATCCACTGTTTTTTTAATATAAACCCATCATTGCTAGCAATAGTTTTCTAAGGCTGAGGTACACCATCTAATTTTAACCGTAACAATGTGATATTTGATAAAGTTAAAGTAAGATGGTGCAACCCAGCCTGAGATTCTTCGAGAATTTCCTTGATATTTGTTTACTTTGTAGAGACGCTATTTTTGCTCGCACATTAATTAAATCTCATATGAGACGGGTACAGGAATGTAAATATGTATGTCCATTATTGTCCATTACGCGCACACGCACGCGAGTAAATTGCGAAAAATCAGTGAGATGTTTTTAAGTACATCTAGCTTTTTAGGGTTGTCTTCAACTTAAGACAGTACAAAAACTAGATGGATCGTTTAATTGAGATGATTAAAATAAATTATTCTTAAATTGATAGATTATAATCAACTCTATTAAGAGTTGAAAGAAAATATATGTATTTGTTAATGATAAAAATCAACAAGCTGCTGATGACTTAACTACACGATACATAGACTCCTTTAGTTGTAGCAGCTGCAAGGCCACAACCCGGGCAATCATATTTACTTATTTTTAGGAAATCTGCATTTCAGCCTCTAATTCTCTAAAATACTCTAAATAAACAGAGAACCTATATTGATAATTTGTGTTGCTCTAGAAATAGAACCTTGGATCTCCAAATCGAGACAGTTCAACGCTCTATCCACTAGATCCAGAAGAAGGCATAGCAATTTGACCACAGTCTTGAGGTATTACTAAAAAAAATCTAACAGCTAATAATAGGTAACATCTACATACCAATTAAGTAGTCTTGTTCTGTGTGCTGTTCTATGAAATAAAATAATTTTATGATGTTTTTTTCTTCTCCTCATCATTCGTACAGCCCCTAGCATTTAATCTCCTACCTAGACCTTAACCGGTCTGGACTCGTTCAGGGCTGGTTCTCTACAGGAAGTCTACAATCAGACCTTGGATTAGATAAGCTTGATTAAAATTCGCTTTTAAACCGCGGTTATGTAATCCCAGATGCTGGAAATAGCAAAAACATTTCAGTCACGTTTTAGTAAAAAAAGTTCGTATTTTTTTTAGACTGACAATATTTAATTAGCAACACTTTATAGTACAGTCAGCATCGAATAGTTCGTGACACCCAAAGTAGCCAAAAAGTTCGCAACACGTCTTTGTTACAGTTGGAATAAGGTTGAGTTTGTCAACTTTTTGGCCATTTTGTACAATGTACAGTCCACGATGAGTAGGTATTGATATTTTAAAATATAAATAATCTTATTTTTGAACAGATTTTCAATAATCCATGTAAAAAAGCAAACGCCACCAATAGATGATAGTTATGTATTTAACTTAGGTATTAAAAGATGAGAGATTAAGCAAGATTTCACTAATCTTTTCAAACATAATACTTTACTATACTATTATCATTAATTATTAATATACTTAACAGATAACTGTAGAATGTGCAAAGAAATTGTGAAATAAAGGCTTAAACTCAGCTTCCAAAATAAATTGTTTTCATGCTCGTGAGAAAATCAAAATTCAAGGTTTAATACTACAGTTGTGTAAAAATGGACCAAAGTGAAATTTATAACTGAAATACAAGTGACTCAATCACACCTTGTAATATGCAAAAAGTGTTATATAAGGAGAAATAAATGAATGATTTGCGAAGAAAGTTACAAAAAGATAGCACTCGTCGGAGTTGTCGCTTGAGAATTTGACTCTATCGATGCTGAATCGCAATCTTGATGATATAACGATAAAATGTTCAGTTACAATGTTACGTAGTGTAATGGAAAAGGAATGTGAAATATGGAATCAAGATTTTTTGTAAGATTTAAAATGATGATAATTGATAAATGTGCTGGCATTGTTTTTGTGAAATCTTTCTCTAAGGCATTCAATATCTCCTTAATAGCCATTAAACAAACATTCAAAGCAAATAAATAAAAGAATTATTCCAATCGTCGCTAGTTAATTAGCTTAAATTAAAGTACAGGCGACACAGTGCATCAGACTATACATATTCATTGTATAACAGTCTTTATTACTACGCTTTAAGTTGCTATTTTAGCTTGATGAGCTGTCGTCCGTACCTTCGTAACCTTGTAATCATAACTCACTCACTTTTTTCTCATCTGTATATTTACCTTTGTCACAGATAAACATCCTACATCTTCGCCAGGGTACTTAACTTCCCAAAACATACAAAAGTTCTGGTCATTCACCCACATCTAGAGCCTTATAAAGTCCGGCCATTTAATATCAAGCTTTTAAACTTAACAGGCATTTTTGAACTGTAATATTTCCTAAAGCGTTTGCAAGCAAATTATACGTTGTCAAGGCTTTAAAATCGAGTAAAAGTTGGCCGCGATCGGTAGAGTCGGTGTTATTAATATTACTACAAGTCTTTACTGAGATTGGTACACTAAAAGTTCCCAGTCTCTGGTAAGGTGTGTCTAGTTGATAATGTAGAGTAGGTACTGAACTTTAGTAAACGTTGAAAAAGTCCAAATTAATTAACCCATAAATACATATTAATCTGGCTCTTACTTTGAAGTGAAAGAGGAAGCCAATAAAACCCTTAACCAAAATACAAGATAATAATGGTCTTGCTAAATGGCCTTAGTTATTTATTAACATTTACTAAAGGTACCCTACAATTAATTCCATAAATATTATTCCATACGTTTAGCATATACATATGTATAGGAAGTTCCAGCCTTATTAATTTTTACTAACGAATATCAAAAAACACTGCCAAGCTTTTGCTCATATTAACATTATTATTTAATCATCTTACCTACTCTACTATACACTATACAGCCCTACTTTTGGACCCGTTGGGAGTCAAAGTATGAACTTGCATTTTTTGAAAACAATAGAGCTGTGGATATTTGGGAATTACCTACTACCCTACTTCTTACTAGTGTTTAACCTTCGCCTTCTGTCAACAAAAACTACTTGCCTAACACCTAAAGCTCATGATGCAATCTACCATAATGCATATAATTGAGCACAACACCATAAACCTTACTTTAATTCGCGTTATTTCTTATCGATGTGTGTAACATGTGATTTTGTTTATAATCACCCAAAATTATAGCTTAACGACCAATAGCACGGTGGAATGTGCTTGTAAAGGCACACGTCCACTGCAATCGCGGCGAACATTCGCTAGCCGTCCGTGACTTTATTCCAAGCCTAATGTTGACAACAATTAAGAAGACTTCCGTAGTCTGATAAACATGATACCGCGACTCAAGTCGGGATAACGACATCTATGAGTGAAAATTTGAACTATCATTTCCAAGGCGTAGCGCCATTATGCAAAATGCGGTACTTTTTAACTTAACCTAAACGACTTGAAAGAAATAATACGTGCTTTGTTAAACACCTGCAATACGGACTTTGCAATATTGTACACGAAATATCATTTGCAAATCATAAAAAAGGAAAAAAGATCGTGTTCGTATCGGATTGTACAGACGGCAGCACAACAAGCTAAACACTGTGAGGTCTTGAACAATTGTAATAAAGGCGATATAGTTCGTACTTTGCTTCAGCGAATAGTTGCGCACTTCTTTGGAACTATACTTTTACATGTTAGATTCGAACCTTGTTCCAATTCAGAGCAAAACGAATCTTGC